TTTCCTATGCAGTCTTGCTAATCTACCCAATCTTCAGATTTAAATTAATAGAAATTTGGCTATAGGACAGGACCTTTTTGAGCCCTTGCAGGCTAAGGTGAAAAGCTAATAGATCTCATTTTCTGCATATTTTGGAGTTTGTAGACTTGACTGCCCTTTGTTCTCTTCAATAGTGGTAGAAATTCCACATAAAGTAAAACTGGAAGTGAGTGACTTCAGGGGTGCCGATTTCAGTAAGAGTGTTCAGTATGAGTGTTCAAGTATTGAGCGTGATGTAACAGGGAAGGTTGATTTTCTAAAAGAGTTTGTGAAGTCCCCTGAGGATTTCATGAAAATTATCACACTCATAAGTCTTCATGCTTTGGGAAAGGATACCAAAGGTGAGTAAGATAATTGTATCTGTTATCAATGAAATGGTTCTTTTTTTTGTAATATCACTTGCAAATGAGTTATCCTTTCAAGATCTGTGTCCTTTTTGTTTGGCAGGTCCTCATTTGTTTCCTGGAGAGGAAGTCCTATTAGTAAGAAAAGATTATGCAGATGGAGAGACAATAACCTACAAGAAGAAGAGTGACCTTGCAGGTTACATGATCACTCTTCATGAATGTCAACAAATAAACAATTTCCTTTACCAAGGGAATTTCCACCTGATGAGCTTCCTTTGGCTGCTGTCAGAATTTGCTCTGATAAAGTTTTGTAAGGAAAGAGAGTAACAAGATGAGAGGTAACTTGACACTGCTGAAAAAAGTTATGTGAAATATGTAAAATAAACAATGGACAAGGGGAGAGGATTTTAGAGAGTTTGTCTCAAATGGCAGTCATGAAATGTGAACATGTGTTGTTTTGGCTGATTATGCAGTGTCAGAATGCAATGCTTACTTATTCCCATACTTAAGAAACATTTAAGCAGTAAATGTGCTCTTTCACAGCAGGTGGAGCAAGCTGAGTCCTTGTAGAATTTACATTAAATTAAAAATTACTCATTTTTATAACTTTCCTTTTTCAATTTTGTACCTATAAGGCTGCTTTTAAGTTTCTTAATCTTAAATTGTACCTCC